TTTCCTGCAGGAGAAAATATTTGGAGTGTGGTTGGATGGATTTCCATACTGAAGGGATTGCTGAGTTTCCAACGTTTACACTGAGGCTCATCGCCATGGAACGCCAGGAAACCAGAAATAAGATCTTGAAATCTTCATCTTTATCATCAGAGCTATATTTACATACAGCACACGTACTTTTAGCACATGTAAACTTCTTAGAGACTCCTGAGGGAAGCAGTAGCATCTTACTCTCCTTATAAATGAGGAACCTAAGACACAGAGGGGTTAAGTAAACTGGCCCATTAACACACGGCTAATAAGTGGCAGAGTCAGATTTCATATCCAGGCTGTCTGACTCTAGATTTTATACCCCTAAACACTACATTAGTCTGACTTTTATAAAACTTCTAGAGACCCCAAAAAAGAACCCAAAGGTATCAGATTTCCCAGCAGCAGCACTAAAAGTTATAATGCATTGGATCAAGGCTTTCAAAATTCTAAAAAGAAGTTATTTACTACCTAGAATTCTGTCCATGCCAGGCCTTCAATCAAGTGTATGTATATCTTCAGAAATGCTCAGAAATTCAATTTTATCTGTGGTATGTTCTTTCTAAGGAACAACTAGCATTCAATAATTAGGGAGCCCCGTGCCAGGCAGAGGCCGAAGACCGTTGTCCAACAAGCCCAGGTAGCAGTCTGTTCAGATGAGAGAAGGCAGATGGCCACTGTGGGTCTCTGCAGAAAAAGAGAGAAAGAAAGAAAAGTAATCGCTTATGTGACGTTTTTTTGCCAAGGGGAGAAGAGGATGGAGATTTTCCAGCTTTCCTTCAGTAAAGAAGTAATAATGGTGAGAGCACTGGAAAATGAAGCCAAAGAAAAGTGGGCAGAATTTTAAAAATTCTGTAGTCATTACAATTCAAGTGTAAATGATACCTCATTGTCAAAATATTATAAAACCTGAATGTGAGTTTCCCCAGATGTATGAAAGACTCGTGAAATTGACTGTATCGCACAGTGAAGATCAGGGGAGAGAAGACACACTGTTCACTCGCTGAAGGACGTAGCTGGGGTTGTGCCCAGGGCTGAGGAGGACTTGAGGAACAGACGGCTGCTTTCGTCAAAAGACCTATAGGAATATTTGACTTTTTAAAAAATGTGTATATTTCTTTTTTTGTGTTAGGGGGCTTCTGGTGAGAATCAGAAAACCTACTGGACAAATTTAAAAAGAGCTGTAAGCACTAAATTAAAAAAATGTTTAAAGTGTATTTTTTTAATCCAATGAAAATAGTAAGAGAAACAGTTAAATAAGAATTAGGTTGGGTCCTGGCCGATTTTGCTCAGTGGTTAGAGTGTCGGCCTACAGTCCAGAGGGACCCGGGTTGGGTTCCCGCTAAGGGCATGTACCTCAGTTGCAATTTGTCCCCGGCCCTGGTTGGTCGTGCAGGTGGCAACCAATCGATGTGTCCCTTTCACGTCGCTGTTTCTCTCTCTCTCTCCCTCCCACTCTATCTGAACAAAAAATGTGAAAATGTCCTCAGGTGAGGATTAAAAAAAAAAAGAATTAGTTTGGGTTTACTTCGCTTCTCTAAAGACTTTCTTCAACAAATCAGTTTTAAGAGAAGTCTTTAAAAAGGACTTAATCTACCCTGGCCAGTTTGGCTCAGCGGTTAAAGCATCGGCCCGCAGACCGAAGGTTCACAGGTTCGATTCCTGGTCAACGGCCTGTACCTGGGTTGCAGGTTTGATCCCTGGCCCTGGTGAGGGTCGTATGGGAGGCAATCAATTGATATCTCTCTCTCTCTCCCCCTCCTTCCCTCCCTCCCTTCCACTCTATCTAAGAAGCAATGGAAAAATATCCTCGGGTAAGGGGGAAAAAAAAGGACTTAATCTAATTTGATGTTGAAGAGAAATATGTACTGTTCAAGGGGGATGAGCAGAATATGGAGGAAGATGCCCTGACGTGGACCAGGGCTGGGATTAAAGAGCTGGAGCCGATCCTGGGACTAATGAGGCTCGGATCTCGGAGCTCCGCCTGCAGGCGAGCAGAGCCCAGCGCAGCTGAGGTGGCCCTGTGACAACAGTCCCACCTCCCCTCCGAGGGCAGGTGGTCACAGAGGCCGTGTGACTTCGAAGCTGTTGGTTGCAGGGCCACCAGCTCAAATTCCAGCCCTATTTGTTTCTCTCTTCAGTTTCATGAAATGGATTAATTTAGGGTCGAGGAAGTAATATTTCATGGGAGACCTTTAAAAATGGAGGCAGCCTGCAAATTCCTGTTGAAATTTCCTAAAAAAAATGGAATTCTTTGCCCTCTCAGGAAATTGAATAATATTATTATAGAGAAAATTTGTATCTTCTCTCTCTCTCTCTCTCTCTCTCTCTCTCTCTCACACACACACACACACACACACACACACACACAATCCCCTCTAACCATGTGAATTTTATACAATGTGTTATCCTGCTCTGTGCTTACAAGTAACATTAGCAGGTCCCAGCCCAGATTTCTCCCTACCGCCCACAAAAGAGGCCCTGCCGTGTTTTGCCAAGATTGAAAAGCACCCCTAGTGCAGGGATTTTCAACCTTTTTCATCTCTCGGCACATACAAACTAATTGCTAGAATTCTGCAGCACACCAAATTAAAAATAGGTACAATTTTGATTCATGCACACCAGATGGCTATTGTTGTGTAGGCTGCTGTCATTTTTTAAAGTAACAGTCTGAGGGGAAAGAGGTCAGTGCCCCAGACGAAGAAGTCAGGTACTGCATGTTTTAAACGCTGGTGGCACACCGGTTGGAAATCGCTGTCATGGTACAGCCACTACTTTGGTAGAACACATGTGTACACTGACCACGTAGGAGATGATGGTGGTGGTTATCTTTGTGCTGTTCGTCCTCACACCAGATTTAATCGGTGTGATCGTTTGGTTAGTCAGGTTTTCCCGCCTGTCAGGAATTTGAAGTCTCTTAGGTGTGCACCGTGCCGGGGGGGGGCGCTTTGTTCTCCAAGGACTGTGCACACCAGAACCCCAGCCTGACCGGTGCCTCAAACCCCTGCACCGGAGCCGGGGGAGCCATCCATCACTCATGCTCCAGAGGGGAGCAGCGTCCCCAGGGCCACCACCCCTCACCTCTCCCCTCCTGCAGGTGCCTGAGGAACAGTCAAGGGGGCGCAGAACGACTTCTGGCCACTAGACTGTGAGATGTGGAGCTCATTAGGCACGCCAAGAGTTGTTCCATCACCCTGCGGTGAAAAAGTTTCCACTTCATTAACGATGGGTCCTTCCAGTTGTAGCATCCTATGACAAAGTACGGAACCTGAAAGAGAAAATGATGAGTGGCTATTTTATAATGAAAATAATCTAGAAATCCTTGGCTTCTATTGAGCAAGCTCATGGCCTCATAGCACAAGTTTCAAGTTGGGGACGAGGGAGACCCTTCTGCTGCAGTGTCTCTTTTGAGTGTGAACCTGTCACCCAACCCCTGGGTGCTATGTATAAAAAAAGGACACAAAAATGTTCTTTAAATATCACCACTGCTCATGGAAAAGTACATCAGCAACACTTCCCTGGAGACATGGAGAGGAGGTGAGGGGGGCAGGAATGACAGCATTTCACACACAAAAGCGACTTGCTCCCAAGTAAAATTTTTTTTCTTTTTAAACCTCACCCGAGGACACTTTTCAATATTTTGTTCAGATAGAGTGGGAGGGAGAGAGAGGAAGAGAGACAGAGAAACATCAACACAAAAGGGACACATCGAGTGGCCACCTCCAGCACGACCCTAACTAGGGCTGGGGACAAACTGCAACCGAGGTACGTGCCCTTAGCGGGAACCAAACCCCGGTCTCTCTGGACTGCAGGCCGATGCTCTAACTGTGGAGCCAAACCGGCCAGGGCCTAAGTAAAATTTTATTTAGTGATGCAATTACTTTAACATTTTGCCTAGGGCTTTGTGCCCTATTTTAGTAACAAAAGATCAGCTCCTTTCAAAGATGCCTCTAAATTTTGCTTTCAAAAGAAGTGAAAGAAACTTCTAAAATACCAGGAGGAGGAGAAAAACCTGCCTGTAAGGTGCCAATAACCTCATTGGGAAAGTAATTTCATGTATTAGAGAGGTAATTCTCCTCTCTTCTGTATGACAATTTAACAAGAATCTAACAGATCTATCTGGCAACTTGGACAAGCTACAGTAGCTGCAGGGAGTATAGGTGATTCATGTGTTTTAGAGAAGATGTGTATATCTAGACTGCATTTTTCTCTTTCCACGGTCTTGGCATTCTTGAGAAAACCACTATATTCCCTCACTCGGCGGACCTGCCAAACTGAAGACTTTTGAGTATCTACTGAAGTTAAATCTTTGACTTGCTATTTATGAATTACCTACTTGGGATGAAGTAGTGCTGGAATTATTTATGTATAGGTGACCAGCACAAAGCAGGGTGGGTACGGGAGCAGCTGTAGATTTTGACACAAATCAATAGTATAAAATTAGTAAGTTTGGTGCAGCTACTATGGAAAACAGTACGGAGGTTCCTCAACATATTAAAAATAGAGCTGCCATATAACCCAGCAATTCCACTTCTGGGTATGTATCTGAAGGAAATGAACATAGCATATCGAAGCAGTATCTGTACCCCATGTTCATTGCAGCATTGTTCACAATAACCAAAATATAGAAACAACCTGAATATCCACCAACGGATGATAAAGATGATGTGAGCTGCCCTGGCTTGTGTGGCTGGGTTGGTTGGGCGTCATCCTGTGCACAGAAAGGTTGCCAGTTCAATTCCCAGTAGGGGGCAACTGATGCTCCTCTCTCTCTCTCTCTCTCTCTCTCTCTCTCTCTCTCTCTCTCTCTCCCCCTCCTTCCCTCAAAATCAATAAAAAAAATTTTTTTAAAGATAATGTGAGTAAAATTTAATTACTCGATTAATCAGACAAACGAAAAGCTGGGAGTCATTATAAGGTGTCCTACCTGACATATTTTCAGTGCAGTAAAACCCAAATCTCCTCTCTAGTCCTTAGAAAGAAACTGGAAGTTGATCCGAGACGAAGGCCTCGCGGTGATGGATAGAAGCAAAGGCCTCTTCCTGCCCGAAGATGAAAACCTGAGGGAGAAGGGGGACTGGAGCCAGTTTACCCTGTGGCAGCAAGGTGAGCCCGACTCCCAGGGCCCCCTGAGCCCGCCATTTCCCGCAAGCGGACGCCAGTCTGGCGGCACTTCCCGGAGCCGGGATTCTCCAAATCATGGATGGTTTTCTTAATGTTTTAGTTTGTATTTAATTTTAATTTTTATTTTTGTTAATCCTCACCCGAGGATATTTTTTCATTGATTTTTAGATAAAGTGGAAGGGAGGGACAGAAACATTGATGTGAGAGACATATCCATCAACCCTGCGCAGGGCCAGGGATTGAACCTGCAACCCAGGCTCATGCCCTTGACCTGGAATCAAACCCTCAACCCTTCGGTCTGTGGACCAACGCTCTAACCCTGCCAAGGCCATTTATTGTTTTTTAAAACTATGTGTGAACACTTATTTGTGTGTGTAAATATATGTGTGCACATGTGTGTATACTCACACGTGTATTTGGATAAATGTAAAATAGTGTTCTGCTTTTCCTGATCTTTTCTGGTAAATGACATGTAACAGTAACTGGCTGAGCAGCGTGTCTGCAGAGCCACCAGGTGCTCACCAGCGCCTTGGAGAGGAGCGTCCCCGACCTCATTGCTCGTGGGAAACAGAGATAGTGCTGCATGCCAAAATGATGTCACCGCGGGTGAGAGTTGTCGGAGAGGATGACACACCACAGTGACAGGACAATAATTACTGGCACCTGAGCTTCAAGACTGAGCAGTGGTTCACATGCACTCAGATTCCCTGAGCTGAACTCAGGCAAAGGCACATAGACTGGGCTCCAGTAGCTTGTGTGCTCAATGTTAGTATATCAACCCTTAAAATGAGAAGCATTGAATTTTATCTTAAAGTCTCTTTCCACTTCTCTTCTTGAAAATTCAGGGCAAGCTGGCTTAACATCAGCTTTAACCCATTTTGGAGACTAAACAGCCCGTGTTGCCCAGCTTCAGCACACGAAGGAAACAGAGGATGATAAGCAGATGGTTTACATTAAGGGCCAAATAGGCACAATCTCAGTTACGCTTCCGAATGCTTTACACGTAAGAGAAAACTGCTTCAGTGATGTTTTCCAGGAAACATACATCAGAAGAGAGATCACATGATTTCAAGTGACGATCAGCTTTTCACCAACAAGATTTTTCTAAATGGAGCAATAAGGTCAATATGTGGATAATATGCTAGTTTTATCTATTAACATCTCCCTAAAATGAGCCCACTGTTTTGGCCTTAAGCATTGACCAGTTCACCTGATGCCGCAGTTTCATTAGCATCCTTATGCTTCATAGAAGTTATTGGGCCTCCTAGAACATGCTTCAGAACAGCATGCATCCTGACAGCAATTTCCAGAAACAGTCTCTGCTAAAAACAGTTGCTTGATGAAGTTGAATTATGTACAGCATTATAGGGCATAGCCCTAGAAAGAAAATAGCCCTGGCCAGGTGGCTCCGTTGGTTGGAGTGTCATCCCATGCACCAAAAGGCTGTAGGTTGGGTTCCTGGTCAGGGCACATACCCAGGTTTCGGGTTTGAACCCCAGTCGGGGTACATGTGGGAGACAATCTATGGATGTGTCTCTCTCACATCGATCTCTCTCCCTGAAATCAATAAAGCATATCCTTGCATGAGGATTTAAAAGAAGAAAAGAAAATAAATAATTAAGACATTTTGTTTGGAGGCAACCTTTTGACTGAGTTTATGCATATTCAAAAAATGTTTAATTGTGGCACATAACCTAATATTTACCATCTAAACCAATTATAAGTGTATATTTGATAGTGTTAAGTACGTATATTCATATTATGCAATCAATCTTTGAAACTTCATCATCTTGCAAAACAGAAACTCTGTGTCTATTAACAACTCCCCATTCTCCCTCCCCAAGCCCTGGGTGACCACCATGCACTTCCTGTTTCTGTGGATGTGGCCACTTAGATGCCTCGTATAAGTAGAATCATACAGTATTGATTGACTTGTAAGTTTTCACATTTTGATTATACCTGATTTTTCGTTAATTATTTTTTCCCTTTATTATTTTCTATAATTAATATGTGTTTCTTTTGAAATAATAATTGAAAAGTCCAAACCAAAAAATGGACTTATTAATAAGATAGCTGTTTATAAGTCTACAAGGGCTATAGGTTTAAAAGAACCATCAACATTGATAGAGATACCAGGGATTAACAATCATTTTTAAAAAAGAGTCCTTCTCAGAGTTCCATGAATTATTAAGAGTAGTTTTCTTACAATATTTTTCACTTTCTTGGCATTGTTAAATCCTCTTTCCAGTTGAATGAAATTTGCATATTTTTTATTTCTTAAGTTTGACAGAGTGAAATTATGTTGTTAAAAATCTCATAAAATTACTTCCCATCTAATTCCTGCTTTTGTATTTTTCTTCCTTCTTTTGTTTCTTTTTTTTTTAACTGTTCATTTTATTATTCTTTTAAAGTTTTCAGTTGGAATGCCTTAGTAAACTTACTTCATTCTGTCTTCTTTATTAATAAAAGCACTTAAGACTATGGACTGATATCTGGGTACACCGCTTTCTGGAAACAAGTTTATAGTTTAAAGAATCCTTAAGGCAGGTACTGTCATAGCTTGACAGAAGCAGGGGGGACTCTGAAGGCAGATGCGCTGACTCAGGGCCAGGAGAGAGAGAATGCTGTGGCAGGTGGGGCGGGAGCAGGCGGGGGGGGGGGGGGGTAGGGGGGCAGGGTTTTAGACACACTGAGAGCTCAGGTCAGACAAAGAAACGGATGAATATTCAATTTAGTTGTCTAATCTAGTTAGAAGAGGGTGCTGCTGGATTGTTGAAGGCCTTGAAGGTATGGCTGCAAATTTTGTTTCTATCCGAGTGGTAATTGGGAATTGTGGTAAATCTCTAAGTAATATACTCAGTATTGAAGTATATTTATTCCTTTTTAAATAATCAACTTTTTTGAGTTGGAGAAAGAATCGACAATATAAATAGTGATTTTCCCCACAGATAAGTTTTCAGATTGCTATGTGAATATTATGGAACATCTTTTTTGCTTGAATTTATTAATTATCCCCAACAGTGAGCACCAAAATATACAGTTAGCAAACATGCTGCACACGTGCAGTCGTTCTTTCCCCCAGAGCCTGTAGGAGATGGTGCTGCCTGACCCCAGTTCCCTTTCTGAATGAGCTTGAGCTGAACTTCTGACTCCTTCTCAACACAGTGCCTAAGTAGCCACTGTCGGCTGATCAGCGGGACACACAGACGAGTGTGCTGTCGTCCTAGCTGTAGAATACAACCCCGGGCCTTTAAAGCCGCCAGCTCCGTGCATCTCACATGAAGTGTACTCGTATGTAAATGAAAAATTCATTTGATTCTTTCAGGTCTGCGTGGGCAGCTAGATCTCGTTCTAGGGCAGCTGCCCAAAGAAACAAAGCTGGTAACATAAGAGTTACTTCCAGTTTGGTAAGAAATAATGAAACAGCAGCAAAGCCTCACGGGGCTCGGCTGCGGACAGTTTCCTCCCGGGCTGAGTTTGCTGCGCAGCTGCCTTCCAACCCGCCCTGCAGTGAAGGGACAGACGTGCCTACAGCACAGGCTTTGGAGACCAGCCATCCCGGCGTGGGGGCCTGCTGCACCCTGTTGGCTGTGTGGTGGCATGTTCCAGAACCTCTGAGCTCCAGCTTCCTCACCTGAAAAATGGCCATTAAAATAGTGCCCAAAGTCTGGGGTTGTTATGAGGATCAATAGCTCTTATGAAAGGTCTGACTCAGTTATTCAATAAATGTTAGTGCTAAGTGTTCTTATTCTGTAATAATCCTATGTTGTGTAATAATAACAGTAGTGGAGAGGCAGCCGTAGGTCACAGTCAAGAACATGGACTCTGGGTCCAGCTGGGCGGGCGTTCCTGCTCCGACCCGGCGGTGTGGGCAGCACGTGCACCTTTCCAAGCATGGGGAGCGGTGCCTGGTGCCCGGAACTGTGGCAGCCCTGCCCTCGTGATCACGTGTGAACAGTTGAAATGCCCAATGGCAATCCACGAACGTCAAACTTCTACTACACGGCTCTTCCCAACAGAACCTGTGTTTGCAGACTAGAAAAGATTTATGTGGCTAGAGGTGCTCACTCATCCGGTCCTGAACAAGTGGCAATTCTAGTGACACATTCATTAAGTTACCCATTCACTACCTAATCCAGGTAAGATGCACCTGTTCTCCAGGTCACCTGTGCTCAGCCCTCCCGCCCGTGCCCATGGGAAGTCCACTCACCTCTGGTTGCTCCTTAAGCCACCAGGCTTCACTTACGCGCTGGCTGGACAGCACAGAACCCGGAACTGGGGCGTCTTGCCAGGCTGTCCCAGGTCCTGCACGGAGGAAGGATGGAAAGCTACGGTTTGAAAATACTTTATGATAACTTCCACAGGAATCTATTTATTCTTTTTTTTTTTACTTTTATGAACACATTTTTTTTATTTTTTATTAATTTATTTATTTTTGTTACAGATGTTTCTCCTTTTCCCCCACTGACACCCTCCTCCTGATCCCGCACCCCACCCACCTCCAGCATTGTTGTCTATGTCTATTGGTTATGCATATATGCATATAAGTTCTTTGGGTTATCTCTTTCCTCCCCCTTCCTCTGAGGTTTGCCAGTCTGAACCCTACTTCTGTGTCTCCGGGTCTATTTTGTCCATCAGCTTATTTTGTTCTTTATACTCTACAAGTAAATGAGATCATGTGATATTTGTCTTTCTCTGATGGGCTTATTTCGCTTTTCTCTTATCAGGAATCTGTTTATAAAAACTGACATTGAACATTTAACTCACTTAGGGTACTCCATTAGTAAGGGAAAAGAGCAACTAACATATAAGAGTAGGAAAAGCTGATGTAGGTATAGATGCTGTTTTCTAGAGTGCTGAGCTCCAGTTGATTGAGGAGAACACCTTTACATTGCATTTCTTATTACTCAGTCTTAGTGCATGATTATCTTAGGACACAGCCAGCATTCATTAAATAAACTTAAACTCAGCTTTAGATGTATCATTCCTTTGTAGGAATCTTGAATAGGAAATTAAAATGTTTCTATCTTTTAAAAACTCCATTCATTGTTTTACTCTTCCGTGAGAGTAAGTGATGCTGTGTGCGTTCCTGAGCACATCTTCCCTAAGAAATAGCGATTTTGTAGGTGATGAAATTTGCATAGCCTAGGATGCTTAACACTATGTCCCAGAATCTCTTTCTGACCCAGTAACTCAGAAAACATTATCTCTCAAAGACCTCCTCCCGTCTTCATTCAAAGCCTATTTTTTATCCATAGATAAAGGATGATCGATATAATGAAAAATACATTAAATTCCAATTTAAAATATTGTGTAGGTAATTCTTTAGTATAGTCCTAGAAATGCATTTTTAAGTTAGAAATACAAGCCCCCTCCCCCCTTTGGCAGTAGGTCGTATTAGTTTACTGGGGCTGCTGTAAGTAATTACCGCAAACTTAGTGGCTTAAAATAACACAGTTTATTCCCTTGAGAGTTCTGGAAGTCAGGCGTGTACAGTAGACCTCACTGGGCTAGCATCAAAGTGTCACACGTTCGTATTCTTCTGGAGGCCCGGCTTACAGTCTGCCCACATTCCTTGGCTTGTCGCCCTCCCCTTCGTCGGAGCCAGCAACGGCCCGTCAAGTGCTTCTCATTCCGTATCACTCGGACCCTGACTCTTCTGCCTCTCTCGTCCACATTTAAGGACCCTGTGATTACATTGGGCCCAGTTAATCCAGGATAATCTCTGTATTTTAAGGTTCACTGATTAGAACTCTCAATGTCCTCTGAAACTTTTATTTCCTCTTTCTGTGTAACAACCTCTCCATAGGTTTCTGGGCTTGCGATGTGGACGTCCTTGGGAAAGGGCCATTGTTCTGCCTCCACAGCGGGGCCAACAACTGTGGACTCATGCTCTGTCCAGCGAGACATCCTTAGCCCGGGAGTCCACAGTGCGTGGAGAGTCCCAGCTCTTACTCTGAAACAGCCGCTACTGGACAAAGCGCGCCGTCCTCTCATGTGCCTGCAGCCTTCTCGTTCCCACAGTGAGGAGACGGTACAGAGGACATGTGGCCAAGCAGGACGCTCAGAGCTTTGCTGTGGCTGATTCCTAACAACCCCTTTATCATTTATTGTTCCAGGAAGAAAAAATGAAAATGCCTGTAAAGGAGCTCCCAAAACCTGTTCTTTGCTAGACAAATTCCCGGAGACAACAGGATGCAGAAGAGGACAGGTACCAAGAGTGTTTTCAATGCTGGGAGGAGCACACTTGCTTATAGCAATGAGGGGATGCTGGTGATTACAAAGAAGCATCTATATCAGCGGTTCTCAGCCTGTGGGTCGCGACCCTTTTGGGGGTCGAACGACCCTATCACAGGGGTCGCCTAAGACATAACAGTAGCAGAATTACAGTTATGAAGTAGTATTGAAAATAATTTTATGGTTGGGGGTCACCACGACATGAACTGTATTAAAGGGTCACGGCATTAGGACAATTGAGAACCACTGATCTATGTTTTCTTTGGCACAACAGATGCCTCTTTTTCTTTTTAAATCCTCACCCGAGGCTACTTTTCCACTTATCTTCAGATAAAGTGGGAGGGTGAGAGACAGAGAGAAAGATTGATTTGAGAGAGACATATCGATTGGTTGCCTCCCTCACGACCCCAACCAGGGCCAGGGACTGAACTGCAACCGAGGTATGTGCCCCTGACCGGAATCGAACCCACAGGCCGACGCACTAACTGCTGAGCCAAACTGGCCAGGGCCCGTATGCCTCTTTTTCACTCTCTTTTAATGAAAGAATTTCATGTAGTTGATGTCAGAATTGAGGGTGGAAGATGTTCGGTGTGTATAGCTTTGTGGAAAAAGGGAATACTTATTTTTAGTTCCTTCACAAAGAAATCAGAGGAGAATATTCTGAGTCTTACAAAGGCTCTAATCCAAACTGACAGTAATTTTGTACTGTCACTTTAATTTAGCAATTCCCCCACTGCTTGATAAGTGGAAGAACGCTGTGTTATATTTTCTGCACAGATCAAATACTCCGTCATGCACCCAGGAACTCACGTGTGGCCGCACACGGGGCCCACGAACTGCAGGCTCCGAATGCACCTGGGATTGGTGATTCCCAAGGAAGGCTGCAGGATCCGGTGTGCCAACGAAACCAAGTACGTTTGCTCCCACCGGTTTTTCTTATTCATCACCTCAGAGGGTGGGTGTTAATTACCACAAAGCTACGTTCAGCTGGATACTTTCTCTTGCTTTGCAACTGATGGAGACTGGGGTGGGTGGTGGTAGTCGAGACTCTTATTCCACAATACAAAGACTCCTCTTCCTGAAGAAAACACCCTGGTGATGTTTAGGTTTTGCTCTAGAGGAGTCAGCATGGTGCCATGGAAGTGGGCACCTTGTTCAGATTCCAGCCCTGCCACCTAATTCATGTGACCTTGGCCCGTTGCCTAATCCCCTCAAGCCTCAGCCTGCTTGCTTGTACAGTTGGTAGTGATAGCATGTGCTTTGCAGGACGGTTGTGCGGATCGAGTGAAAGGATGCCTACGAGGGGCCTAGCCCAGGCCCTGGCCTGAGCAGGAATGTGATGTGAGGGCTCTTCTCCCCGTGCCTTTTCTAGTCCTAATCTTGTCGCTCCCTCGCCTGGGACTCCCAGCCAAATGACACCTATTCCTGAGATCCAATGTAGTTTCAGGAAAAGGAATCTCTCTCTGGCTTCTTAGCGTTTACATGGTATATATTCTCAGCAATGCTATTCTTTGTCTTCAGTTGCTTTTTATTTATTAGTTTATATTAGCCTCAGCTCTGTGAGTAGGCTGTAGCTCCTGGAGAGCAGAAACTCAGTTGTTGGTCTTCTTAGACATTTCTTGGGGTCCTCGGTAGAGGACTGACTGATGGCAGTGGGTGTTCGGGAGTCATCCGTGTAGTGGTTGGCAGATGCCAGCTGCCTGGGCCTGGTGCAGGAGACGCAGTGCTGTGGGAGGTTCGAGAGGAGCCAGGCGTGTCTAATCAGGGAGATAACACAAGCTCGAATGTCATGAGTCATAAGAGAGGCACAAATAAAAATGCTACAGATGGGTCAATGGGCAGGTTGCTCATTTACTGCTGATGTTTGGGAATCTTGTCAGAGGTGATTTTTAAAGACAGGAAGGATTTGGATATTGAAAGCATCGTGAGAAGTGTATTCCCAGCTGAAGAACTAGCTTCTGTAAAGTCATAGAAGCAAAAATGACAAGCCATAAATGAGAAATATTGAGGGATTTCAGCAATCAAGGGTATAGCTACTGTTAAAATGTAACTTAATGCACGTGAACATTTTCAAGAGTTTATATGAGCATACATCAGTCCGAATCAGGCAGTATAAAACCAAAGACAGTTAGGAGCACTCCACTGACAGCTCTAGAGGAGATGCTGAAGCAAAGGAAAGAAATTGTTTGACTGGTACTAGCATTGCTGTTGCTTTATGTGGGAAAGGCTGGTGGCTGTTTGCGATTGGTTGGTAACTTGTACTTTCTCAGATTCAAGTGCACTGACTCAGGCTTAGGTATTGGTTTGCTTATGAAGGCCACCACCAACACATTGGCACCCTCTCGATGCAATGGCCTCCTTCTTTAAATGCTTTAGCAGTACTATAGAATAAGGATGGAAAGTGAAAGAAGGGGTTAGAAGCTAGATCCTAGAGGGCTCTGATATCAAGTGAACGGGATCAGCCCTTAGTTAGGAAGTGATTCTGGAAGCCATGGGTGAATTCTATGTGGGGGGTGGGAAGAACAGTTAACAGACTGTCACAGTGGCCCACGCAAGGAGAGCTGGAATTGGGATGCTGGGAAGAAAAGGAAAGTAAAGAGCAGGTGCAGGAGATGTTCTGAAGATCTATTCAAGTGCTCAGTCGGTGTGGCTCAGTGGATTGAGCATCATCCCATGGACTGAGAGGTCCCAGTTCGATTCCCAGTCAGGGCACATGCCCAGGTTGCGGACTCGATCCCCAGTCGGGGGCGTGCAGGAGGCAGCTGATGGATGTATCTCTCTCACATTGATGTTTCTATCTCTCTCTCCTTTCCTCTCTCTCTAAAAAAACAATAAAAACATTAAAAAAATTTTTTAAAAGATCTGCTCAAGTGAATCTTGAGTGTGTGTGATACAAGGCAGAGAAGGTCCAGCTGACCTGGGGGTTTTGTTTTAGTCTGCAGGGGTGTTGATGCGTTGGCCCATATTGAGAACTTGGGAGGCATGAGGAGTTCAGGGGAATAGATACTGAGCTCAGTGTTTGTATATGTTTTATTTAAGTTGCTATTGGAACACAGTAGACATGTCCAGGAGTCTGCTGGATGTAGTGGCCTGGAGCTCAGGAGAGAAGTCAGGTGTGGACACAGAGGTTTGAAAGGCAGGCCCAGCAGGTGGTTCTAGAGGAAGCAGAGGCCCCGTGGGCACATCTGCCTTGAGAAGGTGTGAAGAGAACGGAGAACCAGGGTGATGGCGCAGCAGAGGGCAGAGCTGGGAGGACCCGGAGGAGGAGTCAGAGATGGCTGAGCCGAGAACCGTTTCTTCCGAGGTGGAATGGATCCGGCAGGCCTCTGGGAACTCAGTTAGTGTCTTCCTGGTTTCTGCCAAAGGGAAGAGGGGCAGGGACATGGCAGGGGGCCCAGGGAAAACTCGGAGGAGGCGGGGGATGCTGGGGAGGGCAGAGGTGGGCAAGGCCGACTCCTTGGAGCTCAGGTAGGACCTGCGGCCTGAAGAGAGCAGAGCGCCAGGCCTCGTCCTCAGCTCTACCTCAGGGTTTGAACTTGTTGTTGCTCTGGCTCTGCTCCCCTCCCTTCTGCCTCCTATTCATTTATCTGTTTTTAACTTTTCTGTCTGTAATGCTTACAGATACCTGGGGGAAATTTCCTAGATAAAACATCCACTTGGAAACAGGTGGGGAGAGGGAAAGTGTATGGGACTGACCCTGGCCATCAGAGGCCCGAGGTGGAGGGAGCCCCGGGTGAAAGGACGGGGGGCAGTCTAGAGGGGGAGCAGGACGGTGCCGAGGTCCAAACGAGAATTCAAGGGATCAAAGTGCAATAGTGAGGCTGGGAGACCTGCTCAGCAGCACACCCGCAGGGGGAGCTGTCACCCAGGTTCCCAGCAAACTCCTGGTGACTGTGCTCGGCCAAGGAGACAGCTGCCGCCCCTCTTCCCAGGTTGAGGTGCGTAGGTTAACTGTGTTCTCCTGCCAGAGGTGGGGAGGGTTGGAAGCCCTGTCCTGGAGCTCGCTCGGAGGGCAATGTTGAAAGGGAATGTTAGCTTAGCAGCCCCCCATGTCCCCTGTACTGCAGGACAGCTACTCCATGTGACAGTAAGTACCCGCTGCTAACAATAATTTGCAGACGGTGTATTTGGCACAGTGATTATTGAAAGTACTTGCCACCCACTTACCTATTATTGGGCCAGGGAGGCAACTTTGTGGAGAGTGAAATGCTTCGTGTTCTCATCCCAGCAGAGCTGGTGGGCACGGGTGCCTCTCAGCCTCATCCCGAGGGCTGGTCAGCTCCCTCTCCGTGCCCCTCCCGTTGTTCTTGCTTCGTGCTGTGCTGCATTCTCGTCCTCAATAATCCTCAACTCGAGTGTGGTTGGGCCAGGCTAAGTACTTGATGACAAAAATAGTGTTTTTCGTAAAAGAAGTGTGTCAATTAGAGAAGTGTGTAATGCCCATAGTGAAAAAAAGCTAGCTCTCTTGATAGTGGACAGGGTATGGACTCCGAGGACAGGAAGTCTGTAACAGGAAACCCGAAAGTTCTAGCTGTTACTGTGGAAGTACTATCAGTGTGGACAGAGGACGCGTCTACCAGGAACAGGCCTCCCTGGGCCAGGCGACAGGGAGCAGTTTTCCAGAGCTCGTTGTCCGAGAGGAGGTAGGGTTTTCTTCGTTGTTTTATTTTTTTTTATTTGTGCTAGTTTCCCTGAAATCATAATTTGTTTCACAAAATATAGTCGCCTTCCACCTATAGGTCGCCATTCTTGCTTGCCCTTCTGGGAGTATAGGCATTTTTAGTGGATGTTTCTGAAGGTTTGTTATTGACTAGGAACATTTCGTCCTCTTCTTCCTTTCCTTTGAACAACTTGGTGAGTAAAAACATCAACAAAGCTTTAACCCCTGTTCTGGTAAGCGTGGTATGTTTGTGGCTATTTTTAGGCACAGTTACATATCTACACCTCCACAGGGAATGGCAGTTCCCACGTTGAAAATGAATTGTATCCAAACATTTGTTTGTCAAACTGAAAGTTGGAATCCACTTTCCCATGGGATATTAAAGGATGCGGAGGCTCTTGGGCCATCCCCCAAAAGCTTGTAACTCATGATCTTTATTAATAGGGCTCTGGAACCATGACTATTTATAATACTGTCTCTATGGGAAATGCATCCTGAGTTCTTGCTTCACGTTTTAGCATCAGGCATCTTCATGAAAGCAAATCAAGAACACTAAAGTCACATGACCAGGTTCGAATCCTGGCTTTTCCTCTTATTAAATATAGGTTTAGACAAGGTGCGTAACCTCTCTAAGCCCCAATTTCCTCATCCACAGAATGGGAAAAATAAGAGTATGTCTCTGTGTGGTTTTGAGTATGGACGCAATCCATAGAAATGCACTCAGAGCTGTGTTTACGAAGTCCTCACTCACACGTGCACCTGGTGTATTTGAGCTTCTGTTGTTCTCTTGTCTGATTACTGCAGACATGGGACGCTTGTCCCGACGTGCCAAGGAGTGAGACCAAGCACTCCTGCAACATTGGAGGGGTTCCTGTACCCTGGAGTGTGGTCTCACGGGGACGAGGGTGGGGCTTTAAGGAGTTAGGAAGGAGGGGAGGGAGGAAGGCGGGTGGGAGGGGCGGGCTGGTGATGAAATGGTGCCGACACAGATGGGGACTGTGATTTGATAGGCCTGGGGCTGGGAGGAAGGGGTACAGCAGCACAACACTGCCCCATTTCTCCTGTCCCTCCCCAAACCCGTACCCTGGCGTCAGGTACAGGGGAGGGAAAGAGGGCGGAAGCATCCTATCAACGTGGCCTCGTGAGGTTTTTGCTCCTTCCCTTTGTCCTCCTTTTCCGGCTTCCATGGCTGTGTTACAGAGCCCTCTGCGCCTGGTTGGCCTGGGCCCGAGAGGAGGAAGGCAGAGCTAC